AGGTGCGTATATGCTGATAGAGCTATCATATACCGGCTTCGGCGGTGCTTGGAAATGCCATATTATGCTCACGTGTGTTTTTGAAATGGCTATATGTGTGCACAGACTCCTGTTGAAAGGCTTGTCATGCTTATCTGGTCTAGTCGGGTCTATTTCTCTCATGTTCTCTTTCACACACGCTTTCCGTCTGCTGGTCCTTCTTGTTACACCGCTATACCATCTCTCTCCCTCTCTCTTGCTCCCCCCCCCCCCCCCCCCCCCCGTGCCTAAAGGTTTGTCATGCTTATCTGGTCTAGTCGGGTCTATTTCTCTCCCGTTCTCTTTCACACACGCTCTCCTCCGTCTGTCGGTCCTTCTCGTTACACTGCTATACCATCTCTCTCTCTCTCTCTCTCTCTCTCTTGCTCCCCCTCTTTCCCCCCATTTATTGTAGAGGCTGTGTGACTAGAATACTGAGTAGCTAATCATTATTCCACCAGTGAGGCACAGTGCACAGGCTGAATGTCAATTCTCCTTCCTTTTCCCATTCCCTCCTTCTCCCTATCCCACCTCTATTCCCTCATCCATCTTCCCTTTCACTCCATCATTCCTCTTCCTTTTCCTTTTCCTCCTGTGTCCCTCCTTCCCCTCCCATTCAGTCTCTCCCCTCTCTCTCTCTCTCTCTCTCTCTCTCAGCCATGTACCCTTGGGTTTCTGCTTATCTCTGTAAGAATGACAAGGAAATCGTATGGAAATTAGGGTTGTATTCAAGGATTTACCATCGGTTAGAGGTATAGAGCACAAGGCTTTGAAACGCCGTCATCCCAGCGCAAGATTTGTGTCTCGTGTCTTATTGGAGAGTCTGTGTTCTGTTGCATCAAAAGGGGATTCTGTGCTGATGAGGCTGCGGAGCAGAGCAGAGGTGGAGAGACAGCTGTTGAATGCATATTTAGCCATTTCAGGGAAAGAGAGAGAGAGAGGAGGAAAGGGTGGGATGATTCTCCAGTGTGTAGACAAACAGGGCTGCAGTGAAGGGGACTCCTGCTTAACAACAGGTGCACATAACAACCCTTAAAGACACAACTTGCATGTTTAGCAAATAGTTAGAAGTTAATTGTTAGGATTAGTATTGTCAGTGCGCTTGTGGAATCTGACTGTCAGTGAATTAGCTTGTTCTTTTTTTCCATTTGTGTCAAATAAAGTTAAAATAAAATAATACAAATAATAATAAAAAATATATAATATATTTAAATAAAATTAATACATATTTGCCTTTAATATTATTAAAAGAACGTTATATATATATATATATATATATATATATATATATTTATTATAATAATTGTTATATATATATATTATATATATATTTTTAAATGTAAATCCATTACAATTTAATGAGATTTAAGCATAAAACACTGGGTCCATGGGGTAAGAAAAATAAATGTGATTAAAAAATTGTTTCTCAAGTAAATGTATCTTCTTTTAAGGCTGTTTAGAGTCTTAAAACAAGACAACAATACTGGTTAAGAAGAAAATGAGTTGTGCAGTGATTTTCCATAGTCTATATTCAGGGTGAAGGCAGAAATCTTTCCTGTAGCACACATTGGCACTGCTCCTGTTTGTGTGTGTGTGTGTGTGTGTGTGTCTGTTATATCTGTGTGGTGGACACTGTTGATCACTGTTAACAGATCCAGCTCACTCACTCACATGTAACTTCAGTCTTTTTTCTTTTTTCTGCACTTGTGTGTGTGTGTGTGTGTGTGTGTGTGTGTGTGTGTGTGTGTGCGTGTGTGCGTGCGCGTGAAGAGAACATGGCAGCTCTTGTCTGGTGCCTCAGATGTGGATTTCTCACATTACATCAATACAGACAACAATACTGGTTAAGAAGAAAATGAGTTGTGCAGTGATTTTCCATAGTCTATATTCAGGGTGAAGGCAGAAATCTTTCCTGTAGCACACATTGGCACTGCTCCTGTTTGTGTGTGTGTGTGTGTGTGTGTGTCTGTTATATCTGTGTGGTGGACACTGTTGATCACTGTTAACAGATCCAGCTCACTCACTCACATGTAACTTCAGTCTTTTTTCTGCACTTGTGTGTGTGTGTGTGTGTGTGTGTGTGTGTGTGCGTGTGTGCGTGCGCGTGAAGAGAACATGGCAGCTCTTGTCTGGTGCCTCAGATGTGGATTTCTCACATTACATCAATACAGATATCTACCCTTTTGTCTCTGTGTCTTCCCACCTGATACACACACACAGACACCCTACCAGATCTCACCTGCTCACTTTCACATAGTGACAGTGTGCTAACATGCTAAATGCTCCCATAGGAGTATTTGTGTGTAGATGGCTGTGTATTGATCAGTAGTGTTTTAGAAAGCTTTAAAAGGTCACGATACAGGTCTGGTCATATTTTTGTGTCCATCTTCCCCTGCATCTTCTAGCCTTATTAACCATTTTACAGGGTTTGTGAGTCAGCAGGCCTTCAGCCCTGTGTATATAGCTGTGTGAGCATGAAGAATGACTTGTCTGTGTTGGTAGAAGGAGTGAGAGAGCAGGAGGGCTGACGGGATGGCTGGTTCAAAGAATGGAAGGAAGGGATGGAAATAGAGAAGAAAAGAAGCAGACTTCAGTAAGACGCTCCTGAGAGCGACATGTGTGATAAGCAAGATTGACACCAATGTCAGGACTGTATAGTGATCCCCTCTCATTTCCCTTCACTCTGTCTGTCTCTTGGCTTCTTCTATCATTCTTTTGTGAATTTTTCAGTTTCAGTTGTCAATTGAAAAATGCTGTATTTGCATGATTATTTTGCTGAAACATCAATTAAAAATTAAATTAATTTCCCATGCCAAACTCACCGCCGCAACCTGGATGCCAGACTGTTGCTTTTTGGTTTCTGAGATCTTTTTAATAGGTGTTTTTTTGTATTGTTGCGTGGTTGCTAGTGTGTTCTGGGTGGTTGCTTCCTGGCCAAGTCAATGTAACCCACCCATAAAGGTGTGGTCACATTTACAGTTGTTCAGTGAATTTTCGCAGGTGAAATCCAGTCATATCAGAAGGAATCCACACGAAATTCATGGATTTGGCAAACTGACCAACAGAAAGCTGCTTGGTTTGAAAGTGACTTCTGTGTGAGATGTGCTCTGTACATCAATACACTATTGGCACTTGACAATGGGCTCTTTTACCCTTGAAATGTGCTAAAAGGTATCATCCAATTATGTGGAATGAGGAGTGGGTTCACTTGTTTTTTTTTAATTATTATTTTAAAAACCATTGAAAACGAGTCCTTGCAAATACTCAGGTAAAGTTACTTGGTATAACATATCATCTTTATCTAAAAGTAACAAGGCAGCATGCTTTGAGAATACCACTGACTTTGAGGTAAATGTTCATATGTTTTATGGTATTTTCATGGGAGATACCTGTACATACTGTTATATAAAACAAATAAATCTATATTCTGAAAAAAAAATGTTTTGATTACATTCTTTTTATCTTACGTTTTAGTTATAAATATAATTTTTTATGTTCCTACACTTTAAGGGTTAAATCTGTAATTGGTTTCTGAGGGTGTGCTGCTCAAATATGAATTTTGCTGCAAGAGCTGCATAACTGAGCTCCCCAGTAGTTATTCTTTTATTCTGTTTCTACCCGTCTCTCACTGTCCCACTGTCTCTCTTTGTCTCTCCCTCTTTGTCTCTACACCTCTCTGCGACCTCTCCTGTCCTCTTTTTTTCTTTAACAGAGCATATCTCTTTAATGCAGTCCTTTTTTAACATCTCATTCTCACTCTGCCACCATCCATGTCACTTCCTCTCCTGTCTCTCATCACTCTTTTTGTCTCCCTTCACCCCTCTCCTCTCCTCCTCCTCCCCTTTATATCAGTCCTGCTGATGAGAGAGGCACCCTCATAATCAAAGCATGACATGGAGAATTTTATGGAAATAAGAATCTGGATAGAACAGCTCCACGCCTGGGATCCACCTTTAATTACCTTCTCCTTTCATATTTATAGAACAGTCCGTCTCACCAGAGAGTTTTAAGCTCTGATGAGGCTGTTATTTGACACGACCATCTACAATTAGTCATTCTGGGAACCCATGGCCAGGTCCAGATGAATCTGCTACAAATCCCTTGTCTATTGTGTGTTTGTTTGCAGCCTTGGTAAATATTCAGTTTAATTTGAATATGCCAGTACTTTCCAGCATGTATAACAAATTTAATTATTAATCTAAGTGAAAGGCCATTCACAACCGATTTTTCATTTTTAATATGACATATTTTTTTGAGTGAAACTTGATATTCAATGTGCAAAAGTATAGGGCGAGAATTCATTTCATCCAGCAGCAAATGATTGGATCATGAAAAGTACGTTAGATGTTAGAATGAAGCCAAATTTTAATGCTAGTTTGCTAAAACAATGCCTAACTAGTTATGTGGCTATTGATTAATATATCCGATAGTCGCATCAACAGCAAAAGAAAGACATGTCTTTTTGGTTAAAATACATTTTTTAACAATGAATCATTCACAATAAGAGCAGGAACATTCATTAAGGAAGTAAATAGTGTTACACATGACTATTTGTCCCTGACATTCCTAGTTAGACATCATTAGTAGTAGCTAATGTCAGTTCAGTCATGATACAGTACTTCACTGGTCTTATTGAATGATAATGAGGCTGTGTTTTGATTGGATATTGATTGCAATGTAATGGACTTGTCACGTTTGAGCACATCCATTCAATAACATTACATTAATTACATTGACACAGTACACTCGCTGTTATAGACTGTAATATAAATGCATGGTGTGACTGAATTACTATTGTGAAAATATAATGTGAGCCGGGAAGTACTATAATGAGATTGTGGTTTTAGTTCAAAAGAATTGGTATGGTATTTCAAAACTCCCTCGTACTAGAGCAGTCATAACAGTATTGAAGGTTGTCGTCTGTACTACAGCATTATGAATAATTGATCATGAATATTTCTCACTGTTTTTCCTCAGGTCTTAAGCAACGCAAGGCCACGAGACTCTGATGAGGAAATTCTCAGAGTGGCGACAGATGTGACGCCCCTCCTCTCTGGCGTCATCTGCGGCTCTGTTTGCTTCCACGGACGTCGGAGCAGCCATAACTCGACCTGCCTCCATCCTAGAGGTGCTATTCCTATGAGAGAGGGAGTGTCTGGCGTGCCAAAGCTCATTTCTGAACTCCTGAAGGGAGGAGCCGTGGGAATTGGAGGGATAGCTGGATTGATGAGGGTGCTGGAGAACAGAGTGTGAGCCGCTCTCCACGTCTCCACCCGAGCGCTGGGCTCCATAATCAGTTCATCCTCCCAGACACTTGAGCACAACTTATTCTAGAGGATTTTTGCTCTGAGATTTCATATCTTTCACTATATGTTTTGAATATATTCTAGCTTCTTTGCTCAAGTCGATGCTCCCCTTCATCAAATGTGGCAGGTGGGCCTGAGGAACGATTCTCTGTGAAACTAAAAGCAACAACGTGTAAGGTAGAGTGAGGTGACAGAGGAAAGCAGGGTAAAAGCGCTGACTGGTCTTGGAACGTTTGAGTTGGAGTGTGTCTATGCAAGACTTAGAAGGCCTGTGTAGCAGTGGATGAGAGTTTGTGCCGAGGGCTGACAGGAAGAGGCAGCTAGACGGCAATGCATAATCGAAGCCTCTAAGTGTGCACAGGAGAGTACGTTTGTGTGTGAATGTGCATGCAGGAGCATGTGATTGTCTCTTAGAGTGCAGAATTCTGAGAATTGGCCATTATTGCCGCTCCCTCCTATTTTTGTGCTGGAGCCGGGAGGGTCAACATTAACAGTGCGCGAGAGAGAGAGGAACGGATACAGCAAAAAATAAATAAATAAATAACAGTGACACTTCAGTTTTTTTGTCACCATATTTTTGGTGCCCATTGGTGGGGTTCTTTTTCCTCTGAGTGCTTGAGCTTTGTAAAAAAAAACGACTTTTGTCCCATCAAATGGATTATTATAAGAATCACAGCTTGTGAAGGGCTCTCAGATGGATAATTTCTAGCTGGAATACCTTCTCCTTTGAGACTCTCCACACCACTCCATTTCTGTGACTTTCAACCTGTCATCCTAGAAGACGTGTTGCGATTCCCCGGAGGACTGCGTTCACTTGTTACCACAGCAATCCATGGCATCCTGTTCCTGACAAGGTCCGCTTCATTCTGTGAGTATTTTTATTCCTGTGTGAGTGTGTGTGAGCATGAGTGAGCATTTGGAATGAATCTGTAACAGTTGTTTAGGCTTAAAAGGCTTTAAGCTTGTTGTTTGTTTGCCGGTCAAGTAACCTGATACGCTTGAAGTGATCGTACATGTGATTTTGCTTTGCAGACAATATGAGCTTTTTATCGCTGTTACGCCCACCTTACTCTGTCTCTGCCCATTAGATGAAGTTCTACTCGTTTGTTTTGTTTTCTCTTGTGTAACCTTCATAGTGTGAGGACTGGGACGATCCGACTCCCTCCATCACCTGAAAGCGAATAGGGATGTGCCCTTAAACAGCCCAGTGAACTATGAATAACATCAGCGCACACTCCCACCGTACACACTTCCCACGGTCCTCTGCGGGCCTGAATATCCTCTTCTGAGTAAATGGAGTGCATTTATGGGTTTTTGTAGGCAGGCATGTAATAGACCTATTTTAGCTTTTTGTTCGCATTTGGGATCCAGATTGGAATGTGAGAAAAGTGTAGCAGAATGGGAATTACTAGAAGAGTTCACACCAAAAATAAACAGTCTGTCATTTACTCACCCTCATGCTTTTCCAAACTCCATTGTTGCTAATAGATCAACCAAAAAGAAGTGTTTTTTGCTAACTTTAAGTTTGATGTTAGATGTGTCGTCACTGAATGCAGTGCACAGAATATGTATGAGATTTGAGATATACACTACTGTTCAAAAAATTTGAGGTCAGTCCCTTATACTCACCAAGGCTGCATTTATTTGATCAAACATATTGTGAAATATTATTACAATTTAAAATGGTTTTCTATTTTAATATATTTTAAATTGTAATTTATTCTTGTGATGGCAAAGCTGAATTTTCAGCATCATTACTCCAGTCTTCAGTGTCACGTGACCCTTCAGAAATCATTCTAATATATGGATTTTGTGCTCAAGAAATATTTCTTCTTATTATCAGTGTTGAAAACAGTTGTTAATTACTTAATATTTTTTGTGGAATCTGTGATACATTTTTTTCAGGATTTATGTTATTAATTAATTTATTTTATGATTAGAAAGTTCAAAATAATAGCATTTATTTGAAATAGGTTTTGTTGTAACAATGCAAGTCTTTACTGTCACCTTTAATCAATATTATGTGTTCTTGCTAAAGAAAAGTATTAATTTCTTAAAAAGGCTTTTGAAAGGTAGTGTTTTGGGGACATCTTTTGCTATTATTGGAGTGGACAACTGACTATTTATTATTATTATTTTTTTTATTTAGTCATTTATCAGACGCTTTTATCCAAAGCGACTTACAAATGAGGACAACAGAAGCAACCAATTGTAGTATTAAAACAACCAAAAACAGATCCAAAACTAAAAGCTAAAACTTTATAAATACTACCTATACACATTTTAAAAATAAAGAAATTAAATAAAAATGACAAATGCGTACAACAATTTCAAAACTTAACATTTAAATGAAAAACAAAAAATGAAGCTAAAAACAATTCAAAATATTAAAGAACCAAAAGGTATAAGAGTATAATAATGATTCTAACATAACACTAAGCCAAACACCAAAAAAGCAACTATGTTACGGGGCTGACGAGACGTGAGACTTGCGGATCCATCTGCAAGGCTTTATTGTGGAGAAGACAAAGGCAGAGACGTGGTCATACAGCAGGCATGGGTCAGATGAGAGCAAACAGGTATATGGTGGGCAAAACACAAGAATAGTCCTAGGGCTAGCACAGGTCGACGATCGGCAGACAGAATCAAAAGGGGCAAGACAAAAGGGGTGAATCCAGGGAACCAGGCGAAGATCAGAAACCGGGAAGGCTAAGGCTAAGGCTAATGACTAGGGCTAAGGCTAAGGCAAATGACTAGGGCTAAGGCTAAGGCAAATGACTAGGGCTAAGGCTAAGGCAAATGACTAGGGCTAAGGCTAAGGATCATAAACTGTGACTTGATTTGCCCCATGACAATCAACTGGGACTTGACTAGAATCATAACTATCAGCTGTGACTCAACTAGACCCATGATCAGAAACTGTAACTTGACCTGACCCATGACGATCAACTGTGACTTGACTGAACTCGTGAAGATCAACTGTGGCTTGACTTGTTAATAAAAGACCTATAGAGACATAATAAATTCAGACATAATTTAACTAAAATTAAAATAATTAAAATACAAATAATACAAATCAAATGACAGTAGTTGATCAGTAATCCTAAAAAATAACACTGCCAAACACACATGCTAAAAAACAACAACTTACTTACACATAGTAAGAAATGGTTATAAAAACTGAAACAGAAGCGAAACAAGTAATAGGAAAGAGGAGAAATAAAAAGCGATACTTATCCTTTGCCGGTGTCCCTGCACGGTGGAGTCGCACGGTAGAGTCGATGGTCTTTACACTCTTCGGTCTTCACACGAGGAGGCCTTCACGCGACGGTTGCCATGGTAAACTAAGCTTTTTTTATACCCTTCTAAAAAAATACTACATTAATTCAGCTGGACACACTTTCCTTATTTTCTCCACAACAAATGGCCAAGCAAGCGCAGACACTGACAAGATACGCGTTACAGAACGAGACCAAACGCGATATCAGCACGTCTCCACACAGACTAGAAGACAGGAAGTGAAAGAAAAGAGACAAACGGAAGTGAGGAAGGACCTTGAGGCAGAACTTGTCGGAAGCTGTACTGCACAATTTGGTGGAACATTGCAGTCTATGGCTCAGATCAATTTTATGATGCTTTTATGGTGCTTATGCTTTATTTTTGATTCCTTGAAAGCTTAAAAACAACAACAACAACAACAACAAAAAACATGACAAGCATATAGTCTATGTGATCAGTATATTCTTCGAAAGTTCTAATTTTGTTCTTTATAATACCATAGAGGTTTGGAATCACATGGTGGGTGATTAAATAATGACAGAACGTTAATTTTTGGGTGAGCAATCCTTTTAACATCATATTTTTAAATAAACTCTGAAAACTAGAGGCGTTATGTAATCTCCACAGTGCGTGACCTCTCTTCACAGGTTTAGCAAACCTTTTTTGACATAATAGATGTGTCTCTGTGAACAACGACAGCTTTTGGCCAAGCTCTATCCAACTTTACAAGGTTGATGTCCACCTTTGGTTGCTGGTACACATATGTGCATGTTTTCTGGCCTTTGGAGTTTTTGATGCTTAATTGACATTACGGTCACCTATCCAGAGTCTGAATGCACACGGCAGCAGCTGCTTTGACATCAGCCTGTTCTGTTGCCATGGCAGTGGACTATTGTTACTTCTGTCTGGGCTACAAATATTGGGAGAGGCATTGGTGTCCAAAAGCATTAGGAGAGTTTACACTGCACTAAAAAATAAAACAGCAATAAAGCTCTGCAGATTTGTTAACAGTAGGCAGCAGCTCCTTAATATCCTCATTCATATCCTGTAATAACCTGCCAGTTGTTATTAGTTAAGTCACATTACTTCACACGTTCACACCATTACTACAGGAAGATCATGCTGGTCTTAACAGCTTCTGTGGAGATAGAAAAGATGAATATAGCCTACTTGGAATAAACAACAAAGCTAGTAGGATCTCACAGTGTCTCAAATATGAGGCCCTGCCTGGACTGATACAGGTCTATGTAATTGTGCCAAAAAAGATTCTGTGAGAATATCCCTCAATATAAACCAGATTTATTTCTACCTGTTTGGAGAACCTCCTGCAAGGTAATATTCGCTGAAATTGGAAAGGCCAAGCAAGGAAGTAAAACTGTGATTGTTGCACAGGAGGACATGAGAAGGGTTCAACAGCGGGGATGAAAAAGCAGCTTTACTGTAATGTCAGAGAGATCTCTAGCAGAGCTGTTTCTGGCAGCAGTGAAGAGAGAATCGCTAGATCTCTTTACTGAATGGAGCTTAGTGTGGTTTGTTCTTCAAGCCCTTGTTAGATTCATTCGAGTTATGTATTGTTCGGAAATGCGCACAGTTCACGAGCCCCCCAGATCGACAGTTGCTGAGTGCAGTATTGTGCAGCGAACGGCAAGAATGAAATTACCTCACCGAAAAGTCGACATCACAAATATGACATCAGTTCTAGTTCATTGGTCCACTGGAAGCAGGATCGATTGTATTGATCTGAAATAAGAGCTTGTCAGGTGTATTTGTGCGTAAGCATTTGGGTCCATATGTGAAAGAGATTTTAAAAAAACTCCTGGCTCAGTGATTTTTAAGGACACTGGGGAATGCATTTCAATGTCCTTCTTATAGCCCACTGTGTTCCTGAGTTGATAATCTGCTGTGCTGCATGTGAGTATGCAAAATTTGATGAATGGTGTGGCTTGCAAATGGCATATTTACTAGTTTCTAGTGCATTGTTGTGCTGTACCGAGCCACACTGTGCTGAGTAAAGCATAAAAGAAATACTTGGTTTGATTGATGAGAATACCAAGAATAACACTTGAAATATATAAAAGGAAAAATGCTGATGGATGATGCACAAAATAAAAAGTGTCTAAATTACATGGTTTCAAACCAACAGTAGACTCAAAATCAAAAACAGTGTTTGTATTATATTCCAGTATGTCGGTAAAACGGTTTCAATTACATTTTTATCTCTGATTCATAAGTAAAATGTCCAAGAATCTCTATGTGTGTGTTCATGTGCATAGCTACCACTGTATTTTTCACAGTCTTGATTTGTTCAAGCATTGCTAGACTTATTTATTGAGTCCCAACAAGTGATCAGTTTCTGAGAGTGGTTTGATCTGATTCAGAAAGCGCAATAAAACCTCAAGCTCTGCTGAGCCATTTGCACGAAAGATTTCATTACAACCCATTTCCTCCGACACTTGGGATCATTTAGCTTCTAATATTTAAGTCTGAGTGTGTCACAGTCAGAAGTCAAGGGTGCACTTTAAATAAAAAAAAAAGAAATAAAAAAAAAGAAACATGCTTGGTTCAATGTACTACCATTGGAGATAATTT